GGAAAGAGCCCAGGGGAAGATGAGCTGCGGAGACCTGCGTTCTCGCCAAGAGGATGTGCCTTCGGGAGGAGGGGCCGGGCCCTCCACGACCAACCCCTCGCAGGGTCTCCCTGAAGTTGCGGGGAGCGGAGAAAAGGGCAGGATTCAGCGTCAGGGGCAGCGGAGCCAAAGCCGGACAGAGTGCAGGGGTGGAGGGGTGGGAATGTGGGGTCATGGGCCCATGACACCTGATCAGGCCCAGGCCCAGCTCCCTCTCTCTGCCAGTACAGATCGAAAGCTCTTTTTATTCATCAGGGTTTCGTTTTGTTTAGGTTTGCTTTGGAGTAGTCACTAGTCTACTCAAGGAATTTAACTGGGCTCTAATTTACTTCTACAACCCAAAAGTCCTATATATCTTATGAAGTTGGATATTCTCCCTAATAAAAAACAATTTTATTGGGAAGCGAAGACTTTTAGTCAAAAAAGAAAAAGGTCTCCCATGAAGGTCTGAGCCTTTTCCTGCAGACATTCCTTTCCTCCTGGGGGAGGCTTTGCCCACCTGTGGGCACCAGGAGGAAAGGTTCCCAGTGGGGCCACCTCTTCACCTTCCCCGGTGGCTCTCCTTTGCTGCACCCGTGGCGGTGATGCGGCGGGAGGCAGGGGGAAGGGGTGGCATTGGGGGCTCAGCCATCAGAGGGGCAGGGAAGCACCGAGCATCTGAGCAGCGCGGGCACGCTAGCCCTGGCATGGCCACAGCCCGGAGATGTCCTGGCACAGTTCTGTAACCACACGGGGCACCTATCTCTCGCCCTGAGCTCTCCTCACCCTCTTCGAACTGGCAGGTACAGTTTCGCTTCTCCCTCCCCGCTAGTAATTTGGACTTTATATCCATACCTGTGCTCCCTTCTTAATCTCCGACTCTTAAAATATATAGAGAAAAAATAAACAGCTACAAAACCTCCAATAAGCAGGTCACATCCAGTTTAAAGGAAATGGAGGAGCTGGGGCTCAGGGTCCTCTGTCACCTGCCCTGAGGGCTGAGAGGAGGGGGGAGGTCCTGGAGGTGGACTCGGACAGGAGGGAAGGCCAGGAGGGAGCCAGGATCTGCCTGGGTTTGTGTGTGGGGGGTGGGGCTGGGAGGGGTCTTCTCTGGGGGCACAGTGGGGACTCTGGTACCTGGAGGCCATTTATTCACAGAAATGCTTCTCAGAGAGCCCAGCTGGGACTCCCATGGCGGGCCATGCCTGGAAGGGCCAGGAGAAAATGCCATGGACCTCTGCCTGCAGAACCTTCCCTGCGCCTCCCCTCCTCCACCCTCCTCCATCCTGGGCTCTCCGGGAGGCAGGAATGTTTGTCTTGATGAATAATGATTGACTTTAACCTTCCAGCTGAGCTTAAGTACTTGACTTTGCATCCTGTGTAGCCTAGAATGTGCGTCCCCCCCCCTCCCCCAAATCCCTAGAAAGGAGACAGATGGGAAAAGGGCTTTCCTTTTAGGTCAAAGCAGCCTCAGCAGGACCTGCCTCGGACCCAGAGTGGAAGTCATTTGGGTCTTGGTTGCTGGGGCTCTGACGGGGCCTGGCTGGATGAGGGTGCCAACCCTCACACCACTCGGAGGCGTGGGGAGGAAGATGGGCCTGAGGCAGTCAGAGGGCTGGGCTGTGAGGGCAGAGTTGCCCATGAGGGGCTCAGTGGCTCTGGTACTTTAGTGGACACTGGCCTTGGGGCAGAGGCTACACGTGCAGGAGGGGCAGGAGGGACAAAGGGAGTGGGGGGATTCTGGGACAGAACCCGGCTGGGAGGTGAGAGCTCGGCCTGAGGGGACAAGGTCAGAGACCTCACCGCTGGGCACAGTCCCAGACAGTCTGCCTCAAACTTTGGGATTGATATAAAATGACTCTCTCTCTCTCTCTCTCAAACATCTCAGGCCTCACTCACTGGCCCGCATGCTCTGGGGGGCTGCCTATGGGTGTGCATGTCATTCTGGGGGCGTGGATGCACCTTTGCCTGTGGGACACTCATGTGGTCTCCAAACGTAAAACCACGTTGAAAGAAGAAGGCAAGCCCTAGCCGGCTTGGCTCAGTGGATAGAGCATCGGCCTGTGGACTGAAGGGTCCCAGGTTCGATTCCAGCAAAGGGCACATGCCTGGGTTGTGGGCTTGATCCCCAGTGCGGGGCGTGCAGGAGGCAGCCAATCAATGATTCTCATCATTGATGTTTCTAACTCTCTCTCCCTCTCCCTTCCTCTCTGAAATCAATAAGGAAATATTTTTTTTTAAAAAAAAGAAGGCAAGAAAAAACATTTTCCTGAGGAAGTCACTGACACCATAGCCAACTTCACTCAATGGCACCATTTCTAGTTACCAGCAAATGCAGGGTCTCTCTTCACAAGGTGTGGCAAACCCTCTACCTGGGTGGACTTGTGCCCCCCACCCCCTAGAAATGATGCATCTGCAGCTTCTATGTACCCCTTCTCTTATGTTCAGAACCCTTCCAGCCCTCAGCTCATCTGCCCTCAGTTTAAAACCCTCACCTAAACTAGGCCAGTTATTTTAACTGTGTCCTCTCCTGGTAACATTTTGACCTTGGAGGTTTCCAGGGGAGGGAGGTGGGGGAGGGGTGCAAGGGCGGGGAGGGTGGTCTTTTCTCCCCTGCTCTTTGCCCAGGACTCAAGGAATGATATAAAGGTCCCACCTTAAACAGAACCGTGACCCTGCTAGTGAACTGTGCCAGAGAGGAAAAGCGTGAGGGGACCTCCCTTCCCTAGGCCTGCGTGAGGTGAGGATCCCAAGGGCAGTTTTGGAAAGATTTGGGGGAAGGACAGCTTCGCCTTTGCTTTGAAGCCTATCACACGTGCACCAAGAATCCAAAGGAAAGAAATGAAAAACAGACAAATAGCCAAAGGAAAGATCTCCCTCAGGCCGGGCCAGGCCGGGCCAGGCCGGGCCAGGCCAGATGGGCTGTGGCTCTGTGTGACTCTGCCCTGTCTCTCCATCCCTAAGGCCCCACGCAGGCTACCAGGACTGCGGGCAGGCAAAGCACCGGCAACAACCCTTCCACCAAGTCAGGTAAAACCTGCCTGGCCTCCTCCCTCGGAGAAACGAGGAGAGCGAGCAAGTCCGTCCCTTCTTCTCTCCCCTTCTTCCTGCCATTTACGTTTCTCTGAGGTGTTCAAAGTTTCTCTTAAAACAAAACGTGGAAAGAAAAGTCTGTACCGACAAAGGAACAATACCAATAATAATAACCCAGTAAAAAATAGAGGCTTCAGCAGAACCATGGTAACAGTCTTTTTCTGCTTGTTCATTTTTTTCTCTATCTGTGCAAAACTTAAAAAACAAGTAAAACACACTCATATGCACACACACACACACACACACTCACAATTTCCATTCAGCAAATCTGTGTTAAATATGTTTGTGTCTCTCTCCTCCCCCATCCTTGACATGTGCAAAAATATTTTAGCGGCCGAGCTGCCTCCTCAGCCCGCCTCCCACATGCTTCCCTCCTGGCCTGCCAGGGCGCCTGGCTTCTTGGGAGAAAAATCAAATGATTAGGGTAGAAATTCCATAATCCCATGCTTCTTCACCTGGCACTTCATTTGCCAAAACCTTTGGTTATTTCCCCCCCTTGACATGCATCTTTCCCCATTCTCCTCTTCCGTCTGTTAGGTTTCTTGTGTTTTGTCCACATGTGTCCTCCCTGATGCCACGTGATGCCCTGCTCTGGGTCACCACTGGCTGGCCCCAGTCACGTCCAGGCCTCTCTCAGCCTGTGACCACCCTGATTTCCTATGGACAGGTGACCTCTCGTTGCACTCACCAGCACGCAGCATAGAAAGCAAGTGCTGAAATGTCCTGGAGCTGCAGGATGAACTGATGAGCAAGGGTAGAGAAGGAAAGAAACATTTCAAGATCCCCCTACACAGGACAAGAAATCCTGAGCTCTCTGCCTGCTGGGGTGCACACACGTACACACACATATACGTGCACACGCGTGAGCTCACACACATGCACACATATTCATATCCAAAGGGGTGAGCCTTCTTAAAAGCACAAGATGCTCCATAGATGCTGTTGGAAATGATGTGGTTCCTTCCCCTTTCCACGTGGGGCTCCTTTGGGTGGATGACAAGGAATGATGTCTGACGCTGCAGATGTGAAGGGAAGATTCGCACCACTGGACACCAGGGCTGCCAGGAGAGATTCTCGCTGGTGGTGGGAGACTGGACCAGGTGGCCTCCAAGGTCCCTTCATGACTCCAGGTTTCCATAACTCTCATCAGAGCATCTCTCACCGTAGTCCATGCTCACCTAGGATGCATATCTACCTGGCTGGCTAAAATGATGTATCCATAGATGGAGGGACAGATGGACAGACAGATGTCAGGGCTGAGGTCAGTTGTATGTTCCTCCTCCCATTTCTGGCCATGACCTTCAGCTTGACTTTTTGGTCCTCCCAGACCTGGCAAGCCAGGGGCTGAGTTTGGCTGGCATTTTGATTGGTCTCCATGAGGCTGTGCGTGGGTGCATTTCCTTCAGTGATGGCGGCTAAGAGATGAGGGAGGCAAGTGACTGAAGAGACAATTGAGATGCTGATGAAATAATACCCCAGGAGGTCTGGACAGTCCAGTGACAAAGTTACCCATAAAGCAATGGCAGCGGATTCTGCAGGGTGACAGAGTCTAGGTTGTCACCTAGAGAGTTGTCAGGAAGCGTGGTGGAGATGGAGCCATGGAGATGGCTGGAGGTAGAATCTCCTGGATGCATTCTGCATTCTATGTTGACCCTCAATGAGTGATGACCAAGGGGGATGGAGGTGCCTTCTCTAGATGAGGACCTGGCAATGGTACGCCGGTGACTATGGTTGGGATTCACTTGCATTCGGGGGTGAATGAAAAACAAATTCTGCTTCCAGGGTAGATGAACTCTCCTCTTCTCGCCCTCCATGTTACATTTCTGCCACTATAAGCCAGAGTAGGTGAGGAGTATCCGCATGGTGGAATGTAACTGCTGTTCTTTCTCTTGTCTGGCTTTCCACAGGCAGGGGAGGAGGCTGGCAGGCAGGTCCCTATGGGCATTTGGAAGAACTCCAAGAAGACTAGAAGGGACAAGGAGGCCTCTGGATGCCAACCCAACAAGTGAGGGACAGCTCACAGAGCACCCCCCAACTCCTCAGTCCCTGCCCCCAACTCTGGTCATCTGCAGGAGGTGTGGCCTTTCTTCTCACAGTTGCAAAGGGATCATACCACTGACTGACCCCCTGGGGATGGAAATGTGGGAAAGTAGAGCCAGTTGATGTCTTCCCAGCGAAGATAATACTGAGCTCACTGTCTCTTCTCCAGGCCAAGGTTCGGACCGATGTGGGGCTCTCAGGAAGTGGAAGGTGAAGTAGCAGCATAGAAACGTCCTCTATCCATGGCTCCTCATCCATCTGTGGGCCCTGTTGCTGATGCGTGGGGTCAGCTGGGAAAGAGAGCCCCCTCTGGAATCTTCTGGTCCAGTCCCTCTCTTCAGGACTGGCCATCCTGGACTAGCTGAGGATTGGTGGCTTGATTCAAGTGTATTAGCCAAGCAACTGAAAGAGAAGGGATCCAGGAAGGAGGGAGAGACAGAAAGAGGCATAGAGAGAAAGAGAGAGAGAGACAGTGCTGCACAGGGGATGCTGCTGATGCCAGTCGGAACTTGCACTTGGTAAAGATGATAATCTAGACTGAGGCACGGCTTGGTGTGTCCCTCCCTCCAGGGGGGCCCTGGAAGGACGGTTCTCAGCTGTCTAAGCTCATGAGGGTTATGACTTGTTCTAGTTTGTAGGCCAGTTTCTGCTTCCCACATTGGTCATCGTGGTCCAGAGGTCCAAGGATCTGTGGAAGGGGCGAGAACGGGGAGGTTACCATTGGTATGTATATGTTCTGTGTTCTTAGGGTGCACACAGACAGGGGGCATAGTCAGAGATGTGGGCATAGTCAGAGAAGTTGCATACATGAAGCTGCTGGGTAGACAGACAGCCTAAGTAACAGGGATGGGGAGTGTGGAGGGCACTTGGATACACATGCAATGTCTGGCACCTGTTTGCCAATGAATACAGCATGTCAGCACACAGATCTGCACATCTGAATAAATGGTACATTTTACTGCCCACGTAGGACAGCTGGCAGTGGGCAGAAGACACCTGGGCAAGGATGCTCCAGATACCTGCATGTTACCCCTCAGACAGCTCCAGAGCCCAGCATCTCAGGGAATGTGATTTTGCAGGTATTAAGAAATTCCCTGCTCAATAAAGGAAAACCTGAACTCACTGGCTTCACTTGGTCTATTAAGAAACAAATACCACTAGGAGCTTAGTATATCTTAAGCTTTATTGGTCATTTACACCTAATGGATAATATCTACCAAAACCTTTTCTGAGATCCGATGGTTGGTGGAGGAAAATGGCCACGAGCGTTTGCGGCACGGGAAGAAAAGTGTTCGAATTTGACTCAGACTCAGGAGATGTGGGTTTGAATACGGGGTCTTCCAGTTTCTAGCTGGGTGATCTGGGATGGAACAAACACGTAACCTCTCTGAACCCCATATTTATTACTTATTTCCTCATCTGTGCAATGTGGGAACTACTAACTCCTTCTGGGCTGCTCCAGGGGAGAGGATGAAGTCAGGCAACACACATGAGCACTCACTGCAGGATGCCTGCTCCAGGAGGGGCGCACAGCACACAGGGGTGGAATCCACTGGGGCTGGGGGCAGGGAGTGCAGGGAGCAGCTGGGGGAGGGGAGGAGAGATGGGGGAGGCTCCCCGAGCTTTGGATTTCATGTATTTTTTATTGGGGGAGAAAATAATAGAGTTGCCAACTTCTTACATAGCCAAGAATCACCAGTTACTGGCACCAACGTTTCGTAAGGGTGGGTGTCTTAAACCCGACAGCGGACAAGTGCATTGTAGACTAAGGAACTGCTCCTTCCGAGATGAGTCCGTTGCACTCACACAGCACACGCTCTACATCGTCCTTACTTCTGTCCTGTGGCCACAGGCAGGTACCGACCTTGTCCTGGGCCAGCACTGGCCCGCAGGCTGACGTCAGGTCCCTCCCTTCAGCTGCGCCTCGGGCTGTCCCTGCACTTGAAGTTCATAGCCTGGCTATGGGGACACCAGGCCCTGCACCCTGCTGGGGCTCCTGCCCCCATCTGGGATTCCTAGACCCGCTCTGGGTGACGAGGCTGGGAGGAGGGGGAGAAGCCAGGGCATAGAGAGGGTGTCCATCCTGCTGCTCAGACACAGGGAGCCTGGACCTGAACCCCTGGTCTCAGTTGGCATGACCAAGAAAACTCCCATAAACACCTGTACAACCACAAAGAAGGTGGTGTCTGCAGTGGCAGTGACCTCGGTAAGGTTTTCCAAGCAGGGAGCATAGCAAGTAAAACCAGATTCCATTTGACTCTGTTCTGCATCTATCCTGTTCTCTACTGTGACACAGCATAGCATAGCATAGCATACTGTACCGCACCGGACCATGCCAGACCATGCCATACCATATGGCCTGCCCATGGGGGAGGGGAATAGCTTGTTTAAAGAAAATTAGATCAAATAGAGAAATGGAAAAAAAATAAAGGGAGGGAATGGCATGGAGGAAATGGGAACAAAAGAGAAAAGGAAAGAAACAGCGACTTGATCTATATGTCTGAGAAGCACCCCGATTCACGCAGGAAGGACAGAGTGGAATGTTTCTGGTGTCTTTGCAGGGCAGCCCAAGTTCTGGGGCAGGGTTTTCCCAGCAGAGGCAGGAGGTGCCTGGGGTGGGGCTCTTGGCCCAGCAGCAGGGTGGGGCTCACCTCCTCGCTGTACTTGCTCACGTAGGAGAAGATCTCCGAGAGCGCACTCATGGTGTTGAACTCATTCATGTGCATCCGGGACTGCTCGGCCAGGTATGCATTCATGTCCTGGTCGCTGATGGCCGGCATCTTCCCGATGTCCGAATAATACCTGCCGGGATGGGTGGGGAGGAAAGGGGTTGCAATGGTGCACGTGGAGCGGAGGAGACAGGGACACCGCCAGCACCGTCTGGGCCAGCGATGCCTGTGTGTGACCCCAGGGGACCGTGGTGGGCGCGCTCCCATCTGGGCTGCTGGGTCTGCCCAGTAGAGCCCTCTGTAGCTCTGGATGTAAGAGGCACAGAGGCAGGGATGTGGAGAGTGGACAGACGCCATCAGAGGGTGCACAGGGGTAGGACCAGGACAAAGGAGGGGCTGTTTTCTGCACTGATTTTGCTCCCATTGAGGTCCAGTAAGTCTCTCATGTCCGCCTGGCACCCCCTCCCATACACATGAGAGGTCCCTCCACGGACCCCACAGGCTCTTCCAAGCAGTTGCTCTGCCTTGATGTCCTCCCCTCCTGGGGTTAACCGGGAGGAGCTGGGCTGCTTGGGGACTGAGGCTGGCAGAAGGCAATCAGTCACTGTCACTTGCAGCTGTGCACTGCTGTCAACTGGTTAATTAGATGCCAGCATTTACATTTTTAATTTCTGCAATTTGACATTTTATGCAGCAAACCCCAACTCTCCGCCAGAGGGGAGCTGTGCAGTTTCCTAATGAGCAACCAAAGGGTCCGCTGCCCCAAAGACAGCCCCGCCCACCCTCTCCCGGGCACCTTCTGCATGTGACGAGCCACATAACAGGGACCAGGTAGCTGCACAAGCAGGGGGATGAGGAGACAGAGTCCCACACACTCAGAGGCGTGCAGGACCTTTGGTGCTGGGAGAGCAAGCCCAAGCATCTGCAATACAGGGGGGTAGGGACAGTCACCAGGGCAGGGACTAGGGGAGGCAAGTGAGACATCTGGGGACACAGTGTCAGGAGAGGCACCCACTCTCACCTGTGAAAGTGTGGGTGACAATGACAGGCCCTGGGACTTCCCAGGACCCATGGCTTGATCAGGTAAGAGTAGGGACATCTTCAGAGGCTCTGGAACAGTATCACCCAGGACCCCAGGCCTGTATCTCTCCCACACCCTCACTGCATGGACCATTCACCCATCAGTCCTGGTCCCCAACCTCCACTGCTCCCCAGCGGTGTCCAGGATTGGGGTGATAGGCTGGCATCATGTTCAAGGGCCTGCCACGGAATGACAGTTCCATTGGCCGCCCGGGTATCCCTGGGCTGGTGGGGCAGGATGGCCCCTGCTCTGAGCCACGGTCTCCCTGTAATTGAGGACCTGTCCTTTTGCCTGGAAAATGAGGAAGGCAGTGGGAGGGAGATGAAATCTGTGCCCTCTGGCAAGGGACAGGCTGGTGGGAGAGTAACTCCATCCCTCTGGGACCCGCCACACAGACACAATCGCCAACTGCATGGTTGAACTGATTGCATTTTGGCAGGAGGTCTCGGCCTATGGCGTCCTGTCGAGATAGGCACCAGGACAAGCGCTTAATGAAATGGCCTTTTTCAGTGGAGCCCGGGGCTTAGGAGAGGCCGTCCTGCCCCATCTCATTGGACTTCCATCAGTCACAGGCTTATTTCAGTGCGGGATCCTCTGCTCCCTGGTCCCTCCTCATCTTCGCGGGACTGGGCCTCAGCTCTGGGTCCTGTCTCATTCTGGCTCCTGTGCTTTGGTTCGCACCAGGGAGCCCCTCCAGGCCTACAACCCACCCAGGACATCCTCAGATATTAAGGTTCTGGGCCACTTAATGCATCCCAGGTATAAAAGTTTCAGCCTTTCATTGCCACTACTGCTGGGACACAATAAATGCCAATGTTCTAATTCATAGCGCAGACCCAGGGGACTCGGTGGCTCCTAGCCTGGCCACTCCCAAGGAGATCTGTGTCCTTGTCCCCTCACGATTCCATGCTCACTGAGCAAAGGATCTTTGTCAGGCTGTGTTCTCGGGGCCTAATGGTAAGAAATGAACAAATGACCCGAGCTCCAGGCTAACACGGCCAGAGGTCCCTCCAGGCTCCAGAGGGACTGACCAGGATGGAAACTCAGGTCCCCCCGACAGGACAGGACTGTCAGCACAAGCAAAGACTCCTGCTGTGTCCATTACCTGCCTGGGAACCTTCCACAGGTGGATGGATGGTTCTGTCAGGCTTTTTGCAAACAGCACGAGGGCTCCCCCTGCTGCCTTTCTCGTCCCTGGGGTAGGTGACCATGTTTCCATGGAGACAGCAGATGTCCACACTCTGTCCGTTTGCAATGGCTTGTAGTACACTGAAAGCCCAGTCCATGTCTCCCAAGGGAATATTTAGAAAGTGTGTCTGTGTGAGAAAGGGCTGGGGGCGGGGGAGGGAGGCAGGGCAGGATTGAGAGTAGAGTGGGCAGAGGGCAGGTGCTCTGATCTTCTCATCTGAAATCGTGGGCCATGGCCTCACCTGGCCCCACCTGGCCCCACCTGGCTCCACCTCACATACACCTCCAAGTCGCACTGAGCAGCCCCCATGTCTCCTCTGTTGCTTGTGTAGAGGGCTCTGGATCAGACCAGTGCCTGTCTGGGGCCATATACTAGCCCACCAGTGGATCGACTACATGTCCTATTTCAGCAACGTCTCAATCATAGCAACAGACAGCACAATGCCCTGGATGAATGTGGGGCTTGTAGAGCTGTTGTCCCATTCTCATCCCCATCCCTGCCTGGTGCTGAGTGGGCCCATACTGCCCGCAGGGTTTGGTACCTCTGCCTTGCCATCTCCCTACTGTCCAGCCCCACCTTCTTGATGGCACACCTTGAACTTGATAATGACCCTGCCCTGGCATCTCTCTGCTGTGTGCACAATTGCCTCTTCCTCGGTCCTTGCTGTGCCGGTCCTTGTGCTGGGCTCTGCCGCCAAGTAGCCTTACTGATTGTGAAGAATGCAATTATGCTCCAGTAATGAACTTCAAAGAGTGTTCTTGTCAGCTGGCTGTGCAGTGAGGAAGGGCAAGGTCAGCCTGGGTCCCTGTACATGAACTTGCTCCCATGGGATTTCTGCCTGCAGCTGAGTCCTTCTTCAGAAGAGATGTGTGTTTGAAAGTCCCCAGGATGGTCCTTGAACTGGCCAGGCCTTGGCAGGTTGGCCAAAACCCACTGAGGAGGTCCAGGCCCCATCATTGGCCTTTGCCAGCTTTCTTCTCTGCATTTGCTCATACCAGGTGCATGTCTGCTCCCTGTGGTCCCGAAATCAGTCCTTGAGGGGAGTTGTTCTAAAGGGAAGGGCCCCAGAGAGCTGGATCCTCCACTGTTGGCCAGTCTTCAGGGTTTCACATTTATGGGATTCTACCGGATGGGCCTAGTGTGTAAGGGTGGGTGTCTCAGCTCTACTTTTGGGATCAAGAAGGTGATCTCCAAGCCCTGAACTCTAAGAGAAGAACCAAGTGTTGTCATCCCTTTACCTCGAGGATAAAGATCAGATGTGAAAAACACTTGGGCCTGATGCTCTGATGTCCCTGGGTACTTGCCTTTCAAGGTGGCTACACACACATCTCTCCCCTGTGAATCATTCACTGACCTCACTGCCCGAGTGCCCCTACTATGGCTTGTGGGGCTTGCCCAGTGCCTGTCCGTGTGTCCTTCACCACGAGAGCCACAGGGAAGGATCAAGTCTAATCTCTCCCGAGTGCCCAATGCAGCCATGATGAATACCATAAATGTTTGACCCGGGGATTAATGAACAAGTTAATGAAATGCCTATACTTCACCTCCAGTATTGCTCCCAGGGTGAACTGTCACAGCTTTGCATTGTGAATGGATGGTTTCCTTAGGAGGCATATTTAAATATTTAAAATTCGTAACCTTTTCCATGTGGTGACATGTGATCGAT